AGAGACTGGACTTAGGAGCACAAGCTGCCCTGGTGTACTGTGTAAGATTTTCAAGCTTGATACACACCCTATGACTACAGGAAAGCAGGACATGGAGCAGAAGCACCAGACCCACAGGACACCAAGCACTACAGCAACACTTTGGGTTTGCTCTGTGAGGCAGTGGTGCCTGGGAATGTGTCTGGTTCAATACATATTAAAAACAAAACCAAAAAGATCATGGGTGTACCAGGGGTTATTCTGCTCATTACAGTAAGAAGTCCATTTCCATATCAGGAGTGGGTCTGAGGCTGTGCAAATCTCGGCAATGGAAAGTGGATGGAAGCCAATGCTACTTACTGAGGGGTGTGAACATGCGGGGAAGGGAGTGGGTGTCTTCACACCATTTAGAAGCCAAACAGAAGCTGTCAGAATTATGAGAATCTATATATAATAAATAATAATTGGTCTCTTGCTAAGTCTCTGGAGGCTGAGGAAACAATATACAAATTTGTTTCTGTGCTTACATGAATTATGCTACTAAGCTTGCATACTGAAATGCTTACTGTCAATTTTGATCTGAACAATTATTTTGCCTTGGTTTAAGTGATGTTTTTATACAATTTCAAGAAAATACCAGGGCTGGCTTAGCGGATAAGAGCACTGGCTGCTCTTGCAGAGGACCTGGGTTCAATTCCCAGCACCTACATGGTGGCTAACAACCATCCATAACTCCAGTTCCAGGACTCCAATGTCCTCTTCTGATTTCTATAGGCATTGCACGACATGGGTGCACTTACATACATGCAGGAAATACACTCATACACTTTTTTGAGACAGGGTCTCCCTATAGCCCCAGCTGGCCTGAAACTCATTATGTAGACCAGGCTGGCTTTGAACTCACAAAGATCTGCCTGCCTTTGCCTCCCAAGTGCTGGGACTAAAGGCATGCACCACCATAGACACCCAGATAGCTCAGTCGGCAGAGCATGATAAAAATAAAATATTTTTTAAAAAAGAAATGCCACCAATTTTTGAAAAATTCATAATCTAAAGGAAATCAATGGTATGAATTCTTTTGGAATATGAAATGAGAAAAACAGAGAAAATTTCTCAGACAAGAAAATGGGTAAAATTTATTTAAATTGTTGAAAGTTAATATATAAATGTTAATAATAAGCAGGAAAAACACTTTTTAATATTCCACAACTATGAACCAGCTATATGGCTCAGTGGGTAAGGGAGCTTGCTACCAAACCTGAAGATCTAAGTTTGTTCCCAGGGACCCATTGGTAGAAGGAGAGAATCAACTCCTGAAAGTTGTCCTCTTAGCTCCAAAGTGCACTGTGACATGCATGCGTGCATGTGTGCCCACGTGCATACGCATACACACACACACACAAAATAAATTTTTAAAAAATTTAAACTCTACAACTAGCCCCATCATTATGAAACTTCAGAACACCAAAGAAAACTAGATCTCAACCAGTAATTAGTCTGACAGCAGATTTCTCAACAGAAGCCACAAGATGACAGAATAATATGTTCAATGTTCTGAGGCGGGGGAAACACTGTAGACCTAGAATTATGTACATAGTAGAATTATCTTGAAGGGACAAGGGCAAAATTTAAAAATTTTAAGTAGAAAAAACCCAAGTGTTTACCACCTTACAATGTCACTCAAGCAAATAATTTACTATCAGCACAAAGAAAATAATCCAGGAAGTGATAAGTACAAAGAAATGAGAAAGAAAATGTTGCTCATGTATGTGGGTGGGTCTAAAAAGCATGCCAACTGATTTACAACTGGACAAAAGCTAAAACCATGAACAATGTACAGGTTTGCCAAAATACAATATACAAGGGGTTTGCCAGGTTAAAACTACCAAGCTTTTGCACTATTCAAGAAACACGTTAGCTTTGTATCTTATGTTAAAGCAGTAGAAAAAAATGCTTGAAAAACACAGAACATATTCTAAGTTGTAAAGGGGATAAAACAGTTTAAAACTAACTAACTAACTCTCTCTCTCTCTCTCTCTCTCTCTCTCTCCAAAGAAGCTTCTAGAAGTCCGACCTTCTCACCTTTGCTGCATGCCATTCTTACTCATGGTAAATGCTGTTTTATCACAACACCGTGTGCACATGTGTGTTGGGGGATTAAACCTAGGCCCTCACTGGGCTATAATCCCAGCCTTCTTTCACTTTTTATTTTGAAACAGTGTCATTAAATTCCCTGGGCAGCTCCTGAACTTCCATTTCTCTTTGCCTCAAGCTCTCCTCCAAAGCAGCTGGAATTACAGCCTATACACTAGGACCTCCTTGTGAGCTTATCTTTGACAGGTCCTTTTCTTGAGAATCCCTTATTTTATCTCTCCAGGTTGCTTTACGATTGCTTCTTCCAAACTCTTTTTAGAATGCCTAGACTCTTTTACTAGGCAGGGGACAGTAAAGTGGGATGACCAATCTTGAGATTCTAGTAACACAGAGTTAAATGGCTTTTGCTTTCCTGTCTCCTCACCTACCTACTACCTGGGTGCTTTCTCTCGCTGCTAGTCCACCCTCTTCTTTAGGATGCTGCCTTTTAGGGGCACTGGCTGATAGACTATGTGAATTGCAGAAGAATCACAAGCCTCATTTAGGAACGCCATAAATCTCTTAAAGTGTTTAACTGGCCCTAAATTGGCAGCCTGGCCTTGCTCAAGCCTTATTAACTGGTCACTCCATGGACTGACAGAGAGACTTTGTTTGTGGAGCCCACCTGTCTCCTTCAGTGCCATAGATAACTCACCCATCTGTCTAAGACACCCTCAAGTACACCAAACCCAGGTACTAATTCAACTCCCCACAAAATGCAGCTGTGTCTCCGAACTTTCTTATAAAAACCCCAGGTTTCTTTGTCTACTTGTAGAAGCTTGATTCCAGCAGTCAGCCTCTACCTCTTCACTGTATCTTCTTTGGATAAAGGAAGATATATTCCTTGCCTGTTGCAGGTCTGGCTCTGTTTTCTTCTCTCCTACTCCTCTATCTTTCCTTTTATTCTCCCAAAATCTAACACTGGCTTTTTACAGTGTACTAGGTTCCAGATCCCACGCGGCACTATTCCAACCCCTCGGCCTTCTGCCCTTACACATCCAGGCCTGGAATTACTGACATTAATACCATTTAAACCCAGTTTGGGATACAGGCTTTTGTCTCTGTGCTAAAAAATTAGGAAAATCCTGGGCACTTAGTAGGGCTATTCACCCTACAACCTAGCTCCTACTCTAGTTTCTTTTTTAAAAAATATTTTATTTAATGTGTAGGAGTGTATTGTCTATATGTATGTAAGTACACCTGTCATGCAATGCAGATAGAGCTCAGAAGAGGGCATTAGATGACCTGAAACTGGAGTTACTGACAGTGGGTTCTGGGAACTGAACCCAGGTCCTCTGCAAGAGCAGCCAGTGCTCATAACAACTGAGCCATCTCTCCAGCCCCTGCTCTAGTTTCCTATTTTCATTTTTGGCACTATGAATTTCCCCTTTCAAAAGGAATACCTATGAAGCTGCATTATAAACAGAGCTAGTTATTTTATACCACATTATATCGTACTGTAAAAAAAAGAGTATTTTAATACTTTCATCAGTACAAAAGGCAAGTTTTAGGATTAAAAAAAAAAAAATCAGTAACCTATAACAGTTTACTATGCTTCCCACAGTTGTGGTCCCAGTCAACGCTGCGGCCTGGACCCTGGTTCTCCAACCTTGAGAATGTTCTAGAATTCTCTAGGCAGGCCCAGCTTCTTTGTGTAAAGCCTAAAATATAAACTCCAGACTACCTGATCTCCCCAGGGACTAAATATTCTCTTCCGCAGCCACTGCTGTGTGCTAAACCCCATAATTTGGGCACTCAGCGTTGAAAACCAGAAGAGCCCCGGAAGGTCCAGAAACTCGCTGCTCTCCCTTAACCCAAATCCCTTTCCTAGAGGTGGCAGCAAGGCGTTGGGTGCCTGGGGTGGCCCCACCGTCCAGGGACCCACTCTCAGAGGCCCATGTCTATAGTATCCCCTATGTTCGCAGGGTGGTCTAGCTAACCCCTACCCCGCTGTGCCTCCGGGCCACCATTTTGAGGCCACAACCCAACCAAACGCTTATTTCTGGACAAACTCGGACATAACTCAGCACGCATGCTCATTTCAAGGGGGTTTGTGGTGATGACACACGTCAGTGGGCACGTCTGTGCGTGACCCGGGCGTAAGGGCTGGACGTCATCCCTTGCGCATCCCATGTGCGCACCCCACACGCACCCCCTGCTGTGGCGTGATCCCCGACGTGGTCCCCTGACCCCCCCCCCCCCCCCGCAAGCGCCAGACGCTGCCACCCATTGGCTGAGCCCTGGCACGCGCCCCGAGGCGTACAGCCACCCCCGGAGCCCTATTGGCGCCACCTCAGTGCGTCGGCGCCCTCCGCTTGGTTCACTTCGGGGTCCGGCTCCTCCGGCTTCCCCTCTACCCCGGCCTGGGCGTCTTCGCCTGTTGAAGGTCAGGCAGCCCCCGCCGCGCACCTCACGGCCCGAGGTGCCACGCAGCCTCCGCTCCGCCTTGAGCTTCGTCGCCTGGAACTGTGGCCGCCATCATGGTGAGTTGAGGGCAGGCCCCAGGAAGGAGGCGAGGCAAGCCGAAGCCGCGGCTCCTCGCGGGTGGACGCCAGCTGTGAGCCGAGTGTGAGGACGGGGGACGCGGACGGGAGCTCAGAGCAGCCCCCCCCATGGTTAGTTCTGGGGTGCCCGTCCGGCAGTTGCCAGGTGGAGGCCTGCAAAATGCAGAGCCCGGAGCCCGAGGCCTACAAAACGCTGAGGGGAGGGCGCAGCGGGCGACGCCTCAGGCGAGAGCGACCCTGAGCGCTTCAGGCCCCTTCTCGGCGGGCCGTGTGCGTGACCTTGGCTGGCCCTCGATGCCTTTTTCCCACCTTCGCCTTCAAACTGCGGAGATGGGTGTGGGGATAGCGGGCAGGCCCGGCGGGCTGGACGGGCCCTGGGCCTAGATGACTCTTCGCCCGCCCTGCCCCCACTCGTGCCCTGCGCTTCGGCTCGCCCAGCCCCACACCAGGCTCCACCCCACGCCGTGCCCCGCCCCGCCCCCACCACACGCCGCGGTCTCCAGGGCTAGAACTGGCGCCTGCTGGTCCGCCAGGTGGCTTGGCGTCGCGCCCTCCGGGTACGGGACTAGGTTCGCTGAAGAACGCGGCCTGCTCCCACTGACCAATTTGGTAATGGGGAGGCGGAAGGCGGGAAATTCCGCAGGATGCGATTGGTGGCGTCTTAGTTCGGAGGCGGAGGGGCGGGCTTCCAGCCCTGTGCGTTTGAAGCCAGAGGTGGGGGAGGGGGGAGGAGCGAGCGACTCGGGTGGGAAAGCCTCCGTGAGGCGTTGGTCTGCGGTCGGATCTAGGACACCCCCACCCCCCACCCCTGGGTTGCCAGTTCCAGGCTGGCTACGGCGGCAGAGCAATCGATAAGTCCAGAACAGGCTGCCTACCACTAGCTCACAGACACGGGCTTTTCTGTTGGTTGCTATTCTTTTGCACAATAAGCTTTAATGTGAGAGCTAAAGGGAGGAAATTCCTTCAGTTTATGTCAGAACATAAATGCTAAACTTGGAATATTTTGTGTAAATATTGTAAAGTATGTTTTATCCACAATGATTAAAAGTCGAAGTGAGTTGTTACAAGTAATTTTGGACCATTTTCCACTCCATTATTGGAGGTAAAGTTAGGAAATGGGACTTGCTGATTATAAAGCCGTACGTACTCTTTGAAAATAAATAAGAAAATAGAGGCTCACTTTAATCGCAGTACCTATAACCGCTATTAAGTTTGGGGCCGAGTTTTCTGGGTTAGGCCTATAATCTCAGCCCCTGGAACGTGAGGCAGGGTGATTGCAAGTTTGAGGCCAGACTAGACTGCCTACCTAGCAAGACCCCTGCCTCAAGAAGTCTATATATGCTCTTTTAGGTTGTTCGTGTGCTTGTATTACAGGCAGATACATAAATCTTAAATTTGTGTAAGGTGTACCATACTATATAATGCGACTTTACAGCTAATTAGGCATTATGCTGTACAGCTTTTTTAAATATTAAAACAATACTACAATGAATTAGTGCTGTGTAAATGTTTTGGTGTGCTTGTAGTGTTCTAGGAAGTAAATTGTCAAAAGTAGAATTGCTCTGTGAAATTATTACTTATTTATTTTATTTCTTTGGTCTTAATGGAGACCAGGCTGGCCTGAATCGCCCAGAGATCCACCTGCCTCTGACTCCCAGGTGCAGAGACTAGTGTCCTGTGCATGGCAGAGTTGTGCTCCTTTTCATAACTATTTTAAATTAAGTTTTTTTTAGCTACTCTTGGTAACTGGTGTACTGTTTTATTTCCCCACTGATAGTGTGTAGAGCTCCTTTTTAAGTCACTGGTGAAGCTAACCATGGGTTATTAGCTTTTTAATTTTCTAGCAAAATCTCAATCCACCTTTCTACTTTTTCTTTCTAAAAACTATATTAATATTTATCCTGTATAGTATGTAGTGAAAAGGATCAAAAGTGGTATTATAGAAGTGCACATATTCCTAACTTCAGTGGAACGCTTAAACTCTTAAGTTTGATGGTAGATTTAGGTTGACAGGAAATAAGATTCATCTGCTTCTATTTTACTTGGTTAAAAAAAAAATGCTGTATTTTATCAGATGCTAACATTTCTTAAGAATGGACCAGCCTGGCAGTTCCAATCTAAGTAGCTTAGTTTGAGGACTTTGTAATGTGCTGCTGAAATTTTGCACCTCTACAAATGGGAAAGATGTACTATTACTGATGAGACTTAGCCATTCTGAAGTATTAACTTTGTAAAATGCGTTTAAGAAATGTACTTTTCTCTGAAAATGATTCTTAAGAAAAATATTTGAATTTATCTTTCTCCTGTGCCTTTTCTGTCTACCATTATTTTTGGTGTTTCTGTACATTCTCAGGGTGGAAAAACAGCATTTGTTCTCAAAGTTGTTTTATAGAGATTTACATTCTTTATTTGGATGCTCCCAACGAAAGAATCCATTTTTGAATTTAATTAGTTCTCATTTTGATTTTTATTTCCTTAATTTTAGCCTTCTCTCTTGATAGGCTCCTTCCCATTACCTTTACTATATATTTTTTTAAAATCTCTGTGTGTGTGTACGTTTGTATGTGAGTGTAAGCTCACATGTGCCACAGCACCTCTTGTCAGTCCTCAGCTTCTGCCTTGTTCAAGAATGGGGTTTCTTGTTCACTGCTGTGTAAGCCAGACTAACTGGCCCATCTGCTTCCAAGGGCTCTTCTGTCTCAGTCTCTCATTTTGCTCTAGGATTACAACGCATGACTTTACCTGAGTTCTGGGTATTCAAGCCCTTGTTTGTGTGGCATGCACTTAGACTTAGCTTGTAGTTATTTTTGTTATGTGGATACCCAAATATAACAGGAAATATATTACTGTAAGTAATAGTGAAGGAAATTTGTATATTATGGCCTCCAAGTTCATCCTTCATATCCTGATATTTCTCATTTCAAAATCCACAACTCATTTGAAGGTAAAATCAAAAAAAAAAAAAAATTCTTCCTTAAATTTAATGCAATTTGTTTTCATTATGCTAGTGTGTTCTGTTGATGGGTACGATTACATTTTTCACACTGGGCATGATGGCCTTTAATCCCAGCTTTTGGGAGGCAGAGGCAGGCAGATCTCTGAGATCGAAGCCAGCCTCGTCAACCTAGTGAGTTCTAGGTGGGCTGGGGCTACCAGAGACTCTGTCAAAAAAAAAAAAGATTACATTTTTCTAGCTAGGCTCAGTGCTGGTAATTTTCAGCTGGGGGTAGGGGGAGGATCTGAGACAAGAGGATCACTTGAACCCTGGAGTTCCAGACCAGCCTTGGCAACATAAGACCCTGTCTTTAAAATAAATGTGCATTAACATCATACTTTCCTTATCCTATTTTTAGAGTGTTTTTTGTCATAGTTTAAAAGTAACCAAAGGACATCTATTGATTGTAGATTTTTTAAAATAACAGTGTATATTAAGCACACTAAAAGTCTGCTGTTCAGGTCTTGTTAAAATGGAGTACTTTGCTTTGTTATCTTTGAGTGCCACCTACTGGATAGGACCAGGATACAGTGGTGGTGCCTTCCTTAATATACTATTACACTGTTAAAATGATGGTGCCAATTTTATATTTACCCCAATTAAGCAGGCAACCTATTTGTAAAGCTTAAACCCAAATCTTAGAATATTTAGTGATTTATTTTCCTCCTTACTAAATTATTCTCGAACATCCATTTTACTTTTGTATACAGAATACAATTAAAAGACATCTGAGATCTTTTCTTTATCACCTAGTTTTCAAGCAAGGAAACCAAGATCCTGAAAAGAATCATTTTGCTGAACAATAAGAAGCAAGTTGTTGGCCAACAATAATTTTCCTCTTCAATTCTGATGGAACTATAACAGAATTTTTCAGCTACAACCCTGTTCAGATTTTGAGTCCGGTAGTTTTGTTGTTGTGGAGGGCTGTTGTTGGGATCATGGGATATTGAGTAGTATTCCTAGCTGCATACCTACCAAGTGCTGGAAATGTCTCTAGGCAGTAAATGTTGCCTTGGTGCCTTGGTATTGAGAATCAGTGTGTTAACAACCTCTTATAATCTGGCACAGCTCTCTGGCCAGACGCAAGATGCTGTTTCAAAACATGCTCTAAATATCATGGTATTAAGGAAGAGAATTGATTATAGCCCCTCTTTTGGGCAGGAATTGTGATATATACAAGGTTGTCACAATTTATTTCTAGTAAGGAAAACATTAAAATTTGGGAGTGTAAAAGAAATCATCCTTAAATTGATAAATGGAAAGGGAAAGAAAAACATTTGACTTAAGACTTTGATACTTGTCTCTATTGGGGTTTTGAACAACTGTTTTGTTTACTTTGGTTTTTAAAATGCTCTATCATGCTTTTTAACATGCTCAGTAAAATGAAGGATTATCAGTATATTACATAATTTTAGTCATTGTAGTTTTCACGTATCTGAGCTTTTCACCCAATTCACCCAATGTAGTATTTTCATAAAATACAAAGTTTTACTACAAAAGATGCCAGTATTATATAGAAGAAAATATTCCACCCTTTTGTCAAATTTTCATGTCAGACTTCTCTAATGCTTTAAGTTCTAAGGCTAAACTAAGTTGTTAGTGACCAATTTACAGTGAAACTAACTGACATAAAATATGCTTTTAAGTGAAAAGTACATGTTGCACATTGTTTGTAGTTTTTGTCTGTATATATAGCTTAAGGTGCGTGCTTTCCCGAATTACAGTCTGCTGTAACTCCTGAGACTTCAAATTCAGCCATCTCCAGGGAGGCCAGCACCCAGTCCTCATCAGCTACCACCAGCCAAGGATATGTTTTACCAGAAGGCAAAATCATGCCAAACACTGTTTTTGTTGGTGGAATTGATGTTAGGGTATTGTATTCATATTTATTTACATTTTAAAATGCAATGGGAAGCTAGATACAGTGGCATGTGATTGTATTCCAAGCCACTTGGGTAGGGGGCTGGCAAAGGTGGGACAGTCTCTTGAACCCAGGAGTTCAAGATGAGCCTGGGCAACGTAGTGAGACCCAGGCTCAATAAATAAAAATTGTAATTACTTATTTTAAATGTTGTGAATAATGGAACTTGGGCTTTGTTGTAAACCTTAAAGGGTTTGGGGGCGGTTAATTGCATGCAGGTTGATACTGACTTCCATATAATCAAATATCCTTTTATAAATAAAACTCTTGAATGCTTAATTTTTATTATTTAAGTTCAATTCTTTTCCATAGATGGATGAAACTGAAATCAGAAGTTTCTTTGCTAGATATGGTTCAGTAAAAGAAGTGAAGATAATCACTGATCGAACTGGTGTGTCAAAAGGGTAAGTAAAACATGTTTGCTATAAACTATTTTAAAAATTTGAACTTGAGCTGGGAGATGGCTTGAAATCAGAAGACTTCAAAATGGGTATTCTTAACATTTATGTTTCTTGGTAGAATTTTTTAATCCCTTTGATTACTTATGTAATACTTGTATTTCAATATTTGCTGTATATTTCATATAAATGGATTAGCAAAGAATTGTTTTTTTCATGTCTTATGGTATCTTAAATTTTAGTTGTTTTGCCTTAGATAATAAATTTAAGCTCATAAACAAATTTTTATTAATTTTATTTATGAGATTCCTATACTACTTTAATCTTAGTACATTCTAACAAATCAGGCAGAAGAAAATAGTCATTTATAGGGGACGTGTTATTTACATCTCAAGTATTTATCACAGTCTGTTCATTTTTTCATTATTGCCACTTCTTTTATTTCAAAGCTACAAATTTTATAAGTATTACAAACACCTATTTTGACTGGACTTCATGGCACATGCCTTCACTCCCAGCACTCAAGAGGCAGAGGCAGGCATATTTGAGATAGAGGTCAACCGGTCTATGTACTGAGTTCCAGGCCAGCTGGTCTACAGGGAGGCCCTGTCTTTTGAAATAAATAAATAAATAAATAAATAAATAAATAAATAAATAAATACTGGGGTGGAGCGATGGCTCAGCAGTTAAGAACACTGGTTGTTCTTGCAGAAGACCCAGGTTCGAATCCCAGCACCCACATGGGAGCTAACAACTGTCAGTAACTCCAGTCCCAGGGGATCTGACAGCCTCTTCATCCTCCGTGGGCATTGCATGACACAGGTGCACTTACCTACATGCAGGCAATACACACACATAAAGTAATAATAATTTTTTTTGTCTTTTTGAGACAGGGTCTCCCTGTAGCCCCAGCTGTCCTGGAGCTCACTGTATAAACCAGGCTGGCCTTGAACTCACAGAGATCCGCCTGCCTCTTCCTCCCGAGTGCTGGGATTAAAGGCGTGCGCCACCATGCCCAGCAATAAAATATCTTTTTAAAATACCATTTTGAAGTCTTATACCAAGCCATCTTCCCAGCCTAAGGATGTTAGATGTTCTAAACTTATTACTAGTAGTGCTGTTTTTTTTAATGTTTTATCTGCTTTTCTAGCTATGGATTTGTTTCATTTTATAATGACGTGGATGTACAGAAGATAGTAGAAGTAAGTAACCATGTTTTGAAAAATGCTCTTAGTTAGCTTATTGAGGCATTATTTAGTGGTGTTTATGTCCTTGAGCATACATAATCTTATATAAAATACAGAAATAATTACTCTTGTGTTTCTGTTTAAAATAAGTGTTAATCTTACATAACTTGCTCTAGAACCTGCTTATTTAGGGACATCTAGCTGCAGGAACTAGAACCAGTTAGAAATGGAATGAAAGGATTTTAGTTAAATTCCACTTGCTACTTGACACTTGATTAGAGTAAAAGGTGGTAAGTAAAGATTTATGTCAATAAATTTTGTTTTGAGGTAATCAATGATCTCTGATAATGGGAATTTTAGAAGACTTGCAGTACTTACCCAAGTCTTGGTGTTAAAGAATTAAAATTGTGGTTTTTGTTAACCATTTTCTTTTCAGTCACAGGTAAATTTCCATGGTAAAAAGCTGAAACTTGGCCCTGCAATCAGGAAACAAAATTTATGTGAGTACAAAAAGAAATTATTCTTGTTGAACTGGCTTAGATTTTCAGAGACTTACCAGTAAGTTTTGTTCTCTTTTTACTTTATTTTTTTTTTAAAGGTTCTTATCATGTGCAGCCACGTCCTTTGATTTTTAATCCTCCTCCTCCTCCACCACAGTTTCAGAGTGTTTGGAGTAACCCAAACACTGAAACATATATGCAGCCTCCAACCATGATGAATCCTATAACTCAGTATGTTCAGGTAAGAATTGTCTGCATTCCTGTTCTTTAGTTTATTATACTTTTCTTAGCCTTTCAGATTATATCTGCAGTTTTTATAAGTCATGGTACAGTCCGTTTTGGAATACTTTGAGTAATGAGAAATCTGTTCCTTTTGTCTCATTCTTACTGGATTCTTACTGCCTCTGTGTAGTTTGTAAGCCTGTATTCTAGAACCTCAGTAGCTACATATGATTAATCTTTTGCTTTTTTATCCCCCACATGGTAATTCCTTAATTGAAGACAGCATTGTATATCCCCTTAGTTTATTCTTCCCAAAGTTTATCAGTTTGTCTAGCTATTTTTTATTTACAGTGATTTCCAAATGCCTCCTCAAATAGGTTGCTAATACCTGGTATTTTCTTAGTTTTAGAACGGATAGATTTTTTTAATGTACTTTAGGCAAATTAACTGCTAGAAAAACTTAGTTTATAGATAATCTAGGTTAATATTTAAATTTTTTACTATGTTTCTTGATGCTAAACATCCTTATTATTGGTTAATTTTACTTTGTTTAGTTTGAAAGACATTTTCTTTTCCAGAAAAGAAATAATGCAGAACTCCTTCTATAGTATCTATATAGTTTCTTTTCTATCTGCCTGAAATACAGAGTATATCTTCTCTCTTTTTTTCTTGTTCTAAATATGACTTAGAAGAAAATTCCTACTTAATTCTAACATTTACTGTGAATCATTACTGGTTCTCATTATTCATGTGTGCTACTTAATGTTTTCAGTCAGTAAATACTGAAGCATACAAGATAACTGTATTTATCTCTTTTCCAGTTTTACATTGTAATACCCTTAATTGTTAGAAATTATGTACAGAAAAAGACTTAAATACTACATAGGAATACTACAGATTATCTGCAAATATTTTTAAGAATACATGTTTCCTAAAAGAAATTTTATAAAGAAATAGTGTATTAATTTTACTTACATAGAAATACGTCCTACTAGAGCCTGTTGCCAATGTACAACAAAACACTGGGTTGGAAAAGCAGTCCTTTACATTGTTATTTATCTTTTACTCCTTCTTTCCCAAAAGTCTTAATGTTTGATAGGGAATATTTTCTCATGAAGCTAAATCCTTTGTTTTAGAATCCTGCATTGCTGTTCATAACAAATTTTTAAAATTCTATTTGTTATATTGTGAGTAATACTTGATTTTTCTAAACAAATTTACTTTGTTAACCCAGTCTTTCTGTGAACTTGTTCTCAGGCATATCCTCCTTACCCAAATTCACCAGTTCAGGTCATCACTGGATATCAACTGCCTGTTTATAATTATCAGGTAATTTAAAGGAAAGAGAAGGAAAGTAACTTAATTGTGGCCTTTATTTATATAAATTTCTCAAGTACTGTGTTACTCTATCTAAAATTAAAGGATAAACAGTCTCTAATTCCAGCCTCTATATTAGTTAAACATAAAGGAATATTTTGACAAGGAAAATCTTTGTTTAGAACTACTAAGGTTTGGGGTCTTCTATTTTCAATGTGTTCTTTAATTTCTGTCAAATATCTGAAACATCCAGACTTAGAATTTTTATAGGATAGATTGAAATGAACTTATTACCCTGGTTTTACAGCACCAAATTCTGTTTGATAGTGTTTAATTTTGCTGGATACTGCAAAAAGTAATTCTATGAATTTCTTCCTATAGAAATGACCATATTTATGACCCATGACCATATCTATGATAATTTCCAAGGGTCATTATCTTTTAAATTTTTCTGAATGCCTCTTGTCTTTTGTAGTGTTTATTATAACAAAGGAGCCAGCATGATAAATACTTCATGATTGTCTTACACATTTTATAAAGCGAAATGTTTAAAGAATTTTTATTTCTTTTTTTTAAGATGCCACCGCAGTGGTCTGCTGGGGAACAAAGGAGTTATGTTATACCTCCGGTAACTCAGTTTACTAACATGAGAGAAGCTGCTTTTTCTTACGTTGTTTTTGTATGTCAAAGCAGTGGCTACTTTATTTATATACAGTGACATTTTAGTTGCTTCTTGGTAGAATATTTAATCCAAGGAAATAGTAGTAATACAGATTTAGAATTAGCATTCAGTCTTCTAGAATCTGCCTCTGTTTTGCTACCTATAGAAAAATATGCTGAAGAAAAATAGAAATGTTTTACTATTGATACTATATAAAAGAAGCAAAAGGATACTAATTTTAGAACAACTAAGCTTTTGTAACCTACCTTTCATAAAGATGGGATATTTGAAAATGTACTAAGAGAATTCTCAGGTCCTCCATTACTACATATTATAGTTTATTTTTCTTAGATTCTTGCTGATTCTAATGATGTTGACACTTAGAAGACATTTTAAAATAAAAGTCTTCAGCTATTCAGTTGAAAACAGTTTCTGAAATTGTAACTGAATTTCAACACAAGCAGCATTAAAACTTTCCATAGTAGCTCAGCCTTTTGAAGAACAGATTACTTTAGAAATATATCTGTGTTTCTTGTTAATTATACTTTTTATCATTTTAAATGTAGGCTTATACAGCTGTTAACTACCACTGCAATGAAGTTGATCCAGGAACTGAAGTTTTGCCAAATGAATGCTCAGTTCATGAAGCTACCGCAGCCTCTGGAAATGGCCCACAAAAGGCAAATACCTAACTTTATTTACTGATTTTCATATTTTATGTTTATTTAAGTTTTTAATAATGGTCCTTTGAGAAGAAGGCATATTTGCCCAGATTTAAAACAAAGTCATAAACTGCAGAATTTAGGAGACTAACTCAGTGATTGATCTAAGAGCTAATGAAACTGTGTATATACAGTTTCTGATCCTGTTTGATTCTCTCTTCCAATTTCATTGGTATTTTTCTTAAATCGTGCTTTAGTTATTATATCAGTATGATTTGGCAGAATTCAGTAGGCAGGTTTCTGCATTAATTTTAACCATTGCGAGAATAATTAGTATGAATTATGTCTATCTTGCCCTTTTACAATTTAATCATTTAGTTAGCCAAATGGTGGAGTCCATAGTAAACAAAACTGAACTAGACAATTGCTTTCCTTGTTCCTATCCTCACAAATTCTAATACATACTATTGAACAGGTAAAAGTAATTGATGTTCAGGGAATGTGTACAATACTGAAAGATTTCATTGGTGGGATCCTTCATCTGTGTTTTTCTTAATGAAGGAAAAAAAGAAATACTGAACCATGGGCAAAAAATCCCCTGATTTCATATTCAGTTTTAAATTTTGTAAAAAAGGCCACAGTAAGGGTGTACTTAAAATTCCTACACTTCGGAGGTGACCATAGGAGAATAAGGAGTTCAGAAGCAGCCTTGGCTATGTGGCAGACTTGAGGCCTTGCCTGTCTCCCTGAGACCTTGCCTCAAAACATACATACAAATTGAAATAACTTGCATAAAATATAATTATACTACCAGATTTTGTCCTGGGTATTTTTCCTTGAAATATTAAAGCTCCTAGTTTTTTCTTTACTAGGAAAAAAATACCTCAAGAAAAATATCATGGAGTTTTAATAAATTCAGCTCTTTTAAACCAGTGTTCTTTCACTAAGATACTAAAGTGTTAATTTGGGAGAAAACTTAGATATAGATGATAAAAATGGTAATGATTACAAATTGTGTAAGAATTCCTTAGAAATATGTGTATATGCTCAATAAACTCAAAATCATTAACAGTAAGCAAAACAAGTAGTCTTTAACTTACATATTTTAGAAATCTGTGGACCGAAGCATACAGACAGTAGTCTCTTGTCTATTTAATCCTGAGAACAGATTGAGAAGCACTGTGGTTACTCAAGAAGACTACTTCAAGGTAGGGAAATAGTATGCGAGCTAAAACATACATATGCTAACTTTGAACCATCTTTTTTCCTATGGTACATGTTTTTGAAATTAGTTACAGTGTTTAATTGAATTGTTGACATTTGACTATAACCCAATAAAACATTAAGATTAGGTTACACCTAACTGTCTGAGGCTGCTCGAATCTCAATATGTAATACAGTTTGCCTTTAGGGAAGAACACTTTGCAGAAAATTATTTAAAGGGTTTATGAGCTGCTAGGGAAATAGCTCATTGGATAAAGCTCTCACCATGCAAACCTGAGTTTGACATGGAATTCACATAAACAGCAAATGGACATGGCAACTTACCTGCAATTCCAGCCCTCAGCAGGCAGAGAAAGATCCTCAACAAACTGGCTAACCTGATCTCTGGGTTGAATTGATAAACCTTGCCTCTAAGAAAAGGTAGAAAGTGATCAAGAAAGACTGTCAAGGTCAACTTTGAGCTTACTCAAGTGCACCCAGACACAAGCAAACACACATACCAATAAGCAAACATGGAAATAAACTAGTAAAGAGTTCATAAGAGAAAGCAGACAGGTGGTATGGTGGTACACACCACAACTTTAATCCTAGTACATGGGAAAGTAGGGACAGATAAAACAACAGTGTGACCAAACAGTAAAAGAAAAATTTGGGAAAGTAGAGTGTAGCAGTAGTTGATAACTATTGAACTAAGGATAACAAAAGAACTATGCAGGTAATGTATTTGAACAGTGTAGAGAGGAAAAGGGAATAAAATCAAGGGGTTGAAAATAGCCAAGCAGGAAGAAAAGGAAATTAATTCAGATTTGGTGAAGTAGAAGAGAACATGAATGCTTTCATTTAGAAAAGATTTGGTTTCTAATCTTGGGTCTTATCCAATCCATTGGACAGACCACTTACATCATAAGATTCCAGTTTTCTTTTGTTTGCTTTTTAATGTGTGTGGCAGTGTAGTTCTAGGGCTAGAACTAAGAGACTTGTACATGTTAAGCATGTGCAGTACCACTGAGCTGCACTCCAGCCCCCCCAGGACTCTCAACTTTTACAAGTGTAAAATGAGGATACACAGAGATGAAGGTTTCTAGGGTCCTTTTAGTTCTGAGTCTGAATTGGTTAGTCCAGTGGAGAGAATATTGTGTTAAGGGAAAATTTTTTCTTTTTGGTCTTTTTGAGACAGGGTCTCCCTGTAGCCCCAGCTGGCCTGGAACTCACTATGTAGACCAGGCTGGCCTTGAACTCCCAGAGATCTGCTTGCCTCTGCCTCCTGAGTGCTGGGATTAAAGGCGTGCACTGCCATGCCCAGCAGGGAAAGTTTTTTTAAGATAATAAGTTAATATATGTGTATAATATGGATACAAAATCTTTTCAAATTGAGTTCTTACCTATTATTAGAGAAAGACTTCCCTTGGAACTCCAGTTTTCTGCTGCTTTAGTTAGGAGTCAGAAATTAGCAGCTTTCTGTCATCTGTCTGGGTCTGGTTTGTTTGTGGGATTTTTTTTTTTTTTTTTGCATCTATGTAGGTTCACGTGTGCGCGCACCTGTCTCTGTAGGCATGAAGTTGACAAGTTGATACCAGGTTTCTTTCTCAGTGACTGTCCCATTTCATTTATTAAGACAGGGTTTCTCACCTATTCCAGCTTTCCCTGGAGTTCCTCTTTCTCTACCTCCTAAGTACTGGGATTACCATGCCTGCCCAGCATTTCATAGGTTCTGGGGATCCAGACTCTGGGCCTCACACTTGCTTAGTAAGCACTTTCTCCACTGAGGCATGTTTCCAGCCTTAGACCTATTTTAATCTAAGTGTTTTATTGAAATTGAATGCATCTAGATATTTGAATGCACTTATTTCCATGGTAAACCTCATTCTTTGTTTTAATTCCACCCCCTTCATAACCCCTTTTCCTATATAACCTTTGAAAATGTTTGTTGGTACCACTTTCCTAGGCCTCAACCTAAATAGGATATTACCTAGGTCACATGAAAAGACACTCTGTATGTGTTACGTACTTGGGTGTAGGGAGTATATGCAGGTGTATGTGGAGGCCAGAGGTCGACTTCTTTTAAGTGTCCTCCTTGATCATTCTCCACCTTATTTTTTGAGACAAGGTCTAGTACTGAATCTGGAGCTCATTGATCTGGCTAAGCTGGCCAGCCAGTGAGCTTCAGGGATCTGCTTATCCCTTTGCCCCCCACCCTCAACCCCTGTGATAGGATCATGTAGTGTACCACTAAGGCCAGCTTTTTTATGTGGGTGCTAGGGAATCTGAAAGGTCCTCATACTTGAACTTGACCAACTGAACCATCTCTCTAGCCCTTCTTTATATAATGGATGAATCTGGTCCTTAGAAAAAGAGTGCAGTTAAACTAGTCCAGGAAAACATATTGTTAATGGTTTATTAGCTCCATTCCACTTTCTAAAGCTTTGCTTCCTTGTATTTGCATCTCTAGAAGCAACAGAGTGAAGGAAATACTTTATATGGAAGTTAGTCCTTTATATCCATAGGTTCTGCATACTTAAATTCTACCATTTACATGTGGATTTTTGTAAATTGTACTGAATATGCACAGATTATTTTTTTCTTGTTGTTATTCTCTATACAGTACACTAAAGCTGTTTCTGTGTTATTTAGAACATGAAGGGAAATCTAAAGTACACAGGGGGTCACAAAAGATATATGCACAAAAGATATTTTAGGAGATTTGAGCAACTTCTAGATGTTTATATTCATGGGGGCTCCTAGGACCAATCCCCTTAAGACATTTAAAATTTTCTTAACCATTGCTTCATAAAGCGTAAAGAAAAATACATCTTCAAAAATTAAGGATAAGCCTTTAAGTTTACAAGACTTGGAACTTTTAGCAAAAAACAGGATTTTCAGATTAGAGTGTTGTTCTTTCAGATGTAATTGTTCTGAAGATGGTTTAGCAGGTAAATACATTAGCTGCTAAGCCTGAGGACGTGTTTGATCTTTGGGACCCACAGGTAGAGAAGAAAACTGACTTCCCACAAGTTGTCCTGTCTCCACATACATATATGCCATGACGCACGTGTATTCCTCTCTGTATCAAATGAGTAAAAGTAATAAAAATGTAGAAAACAATAGTTTTAAGAATCACATTTTCCACTAGCTCTCTTTGGAACACTACTGGGAAATCATTATCTAAATGGATACTGATTCTAATTCCTATTTCTGAGTTTATGGAGATTTCTTTTTAATTGAACTGTTTAACAAAGCCTAGTCAATGTTGGAGAGACTTCCACCAAAGGATCTCCCTTTTGTTCTCATTATTAATTATATTTAAACCTAAAATAAGGCATTAGTTATTTCATAATCCTTTTAGGGTTAAGAGTGGTAGTATGAAAATTTCAATGATTTAAAATGACTTTTTCTCTTCTAGGATAAAAGAGTGCACCACTTCAGAAGAAGTCGGGCAGTGCTTAAATCTGTTTAAATCATCTCTGCTAACTTTCTAGTCTCAGGAAGTTGCTGGTTTTGAATATTAAGATGAGACTGAAAGGTTTTAATTGTTACAGAAACTTAATTCTAAACTTCGACAGATCACACTCAGACTTTCTAGAGAAGTTACATTATATTGCCTAGTTTTATTTTTTGTTAAAATTGTTCATTAGATACATATTTAGAAACTAGTTCTATGTTCAGTATATAGTTTGAAAAATAATTGGAAGTATACAGTAAAAAAGAATTTTTTCAAATAATTGAAAATAGCTGAAAGGACTAACTTTTAAGAGTCACCTTAAGGACTTTTTATTGAAATTGGCATTTTAAGAGTTTAAAAACAAGTACTAATTTTCAAGAAAAGACTTTTTTAAACCTATTTTGAAAGGTCAGAATTTTGATAATTTGAATACAGGCATTTCACTTCTCCAAATATGTGTGAACAGTACAGTATTTACAGTACTGTGCTTTACATTTGTTATTTGTCTAAAAATTTACCACAAGAGCAGAATTTTTAGAGCTGAATTTTTAATCAGTGGAACTCAACATATAGTTAGCTTTATTGGAGTCTTCCTTATCTCAACCCAGGAAACCAGATTCTAAACAATCAGTGGGTCATACATTTATACAAAAGATTTTATCCTTTATCTAGAATCCACACATATACACATACATATCCTATTTGTTTGGTTGGAATAGTAATTAGGATATCTAAAATTCTGGGTATAATTTTCTTTTAAAAACCCAAGACAGACTAAACGTAACTACGTGTATAAGCTTCCTAGTGAGAACATTCTCCTTTTTACTTTTTTTTCTTAAAATGCTAAACTCAATGGCTGTCTTAAAATTGTGCAAAATATTGCTATTAAAGAATGCTGAAATTTTTATGTCATACAGAAGTTAATCAGAGTGCCTGGAAAAATGTTTTTATAAAAACATTGAAAATACTAGTTGTGTTACAGAGTAAATAGATTTTTAGTTTTGCTAGTCTATTGTATTTCCTTTTATAAAGTAAAATACGCCCAGAACAGAGTAGGTAATTTTGACATTACTAAACAATAGAATTTTTTTCATGAATGTATCCCAAGAATGTGCTGAAGACAGAATTTGTTTTTTAGATTAGATGGTTTCTTCATTGGATATTGTGCATCGTGACAGACACCTAAAGCGGCAGAGACCCCTTTGCACCCAGTCTTTTCTAATCCACATTCCCGTTCTGTCAGGATTTGCTCCAGGCTATAAAGTAGGCAAGCACCTGTATGAGCATTTAGGGCCTAGGAGGAAGGTAGCACTTGGGCAAGTACCATTGTGAAGGAAATTGTTTTAAGGGCATCATTTGACCTGCCTCACGGACATGAGTTTAAAGTGCTTTGTTGATCTTTTCTTGTGTTAGTCCCTTCCCCTAAAACATGAAGATTCCATTTAATCGTGTCCAGTATTGCATTTAATTCCTAACGAATTTCCATTCTGGATCTGAAGGACAGAGTCTTTATAAGAGGGCTGTATACTAGAAAGTGTCCTGAAATTTGTACTTCTTACAGTTTATAGCTTTTTTGGTGCTATATTCTTACACGTATCACTCTGTGATTAAATATCCAGCTTAATATCAGTGAAACTTAAATTCTGAAGAGCCCATTGTAATTGTCCCAGTATGACCTTAAGGAAAAGTAAGGGAATAAACTTTTGTTTGCTATTTTGTTGGAGTATTTTAGAGAAGGTAGAAAGAAGAGACAAAGTCCTGAACCTTTCAAAATGGGAGATTAATTGTAAACTTAGAATTTGTTCCTGTTGCCTATTGCTGATACTATCTTTGCATAAATGAATAAAGAAGATGTTTTCAAAAGTATTTTTGATCTACTTATTTATGCCACATTATCTAGAAATTTTGGCAAATTTGGTGGGTAGTGTGTAGCAAAGCATAAATAAATATTTGTGATAGAAAAGTACAAATATTCTCCAGTTACTTAACTGGCAGCTTACAAAAAGAATTTTGAGACATTTTTTGTCGCTTTCTCCTACAAGAAATGAAGTATGTATATTTACATGTGTATGCATGCACACATAATATGCATACCTGTTTTTATGAGAAAAATGTCAAGCTGATCACAGTAGGTTTCATGGAAGTGCATGAATGCTACTGCCAGTTGGGAATGGTGGAGAACACAACTGAGTTTAAAGGTCTCATTTTAAATGTGAATGTTGGTCTGTTGCACATGTCAGGGATTGGTCTCTCTTTTATTTTGGTTTGCATTTATTCTATAAATCTTGGGTTTTTCATTTTGCATTTGTTCACATAGAATGTATCCCAAAGATTAGTACTCACCATTTCCACTACTGGTCCCAGTACTTCAGCTCTGTAAATTCAGACTATGGATGAAGAAAGGCTTCCTTCTAGACACCTGTGCTCTTACTTCACCTGTAGTGAAGCTCTAATTGAAATCTGACTTTAATAGAAAATTGATTTGAGGGGCTGGAGAGCTGACTCAGTGGTTAAGAACACTACCTGTTCTTGCAAGATCTGGGTTGGGATCCAGCACCCTCTTCTGACCATGGGAATTGCCAACAGGGGTGCACTGACATGCATACAGGATAACACTCTCATACACATAAAATTGGTATCAAGGCTCTACGAGATTACACCAAAAAAGTGGCTTCTGAATGATCAAAGATTATCTTGATGTTTAGTGTATAATTACTGAAATTAGTAAATAGGCACGCATGTGAATATGTGCAAAATGTGTATACACATAGGAGCACATACATACTGTGACACACATCCTCTGACCAAGCTGAACCAGTTTTTAATATTATGAGACTCCTAGACTATGTTTGTCTTAAAAGTGTCTAAGCCTGTTATATGGCATCTGAAACATATTTGTAGTTGAAGATAACCAAAATTCTTAGCATACAACCAAGCTTTGAATTAAAAATTCCATACATATGTTTTGTACAAGAAGTTAAAGTTAGGGCAAAATCAAATATCCAGAAATTGGTAATTTGTTGTTTCTTTATAATTGTTTATTCAGTATTAATAAACACCCTTACTCTTGGCTGGAGAGATGGCTCAATGGTTAAGAGCACAGGCTGCTCTTGAAGAGGACTTGGGTTCAATTCCCAGCACCCAATTGGTGGCTGACAACTGTAACTCCAGTTCTAGAGGATTCTGACCTCTACACAAATTGAATGACATGGGTGCATTTACATGCAGATAATAGTTATACACATATTTTTTAAAGTCCATTTTCAAAAATACTTTGCAGCAGTCTGCTGTAAAGTCTCTACCCATTCTTAAATTTTCCTCGATGTTTTTAAAGGTAAATGTGAAAGTGGCCTGCCACATCACTTAATCACTTTGCCTGCCTTCATTGCTGCTGTTTGAGGCTAATGAGCAGCGGCGATAAGGCAGCATGCCACTCTGCTTGCACAAAGATGGCAATAGAGGGGAACCATAAGGAGGAGAAAAGCACAGTGTTTCCCATCGACCAAGTCTTGCAAATAGGGCCAGCTGTTGAGGATGATCATTTGGAATCCCTGAAACACTTCTTTTAGATGAAGATTGCTCCTGTACATATTTTGAAAATGAATTTAGCCTTTCCCAACATTATGTGTAATATGTCTCTCTGTGTGTAACTGATTCTTTAGAGCCGTTCCTCACCACCCATCAAAGACTTGAGTTTTCCATCTGTAGAGAGTATATTTGGTGGTAGAAAACAATAAGCATAAGAAGTTCAAACTATAAACATGCATTTTTGAATGCTCATGCAAAATATTCAATCTGCATAGCAAAGAAATGATAGGTAATTCTGTGTCGCATTTAGAGTAAAAAACATCTGTCCAATATGGCTGTAGCTGTAGGCCAATCTCAGGAAAGTGCAAAAAATTGTCTCCTGGTACAGAAGTGGAAACTACCACTGTACAATAAAACTCTATGGTAGCTATATTTTACATTTTTAACTGGTCTGAAACAAAGTTTTCTAGTTGAGTCTCTAGTTCATTTTCCCAAGGCAAGACTTTGTATCTTATGTGTACCTCTATTAAGGCTGCGTGCCAGGAATGTGCGTTTTCCCACATCTCAAACGCCTAGATACCAGTTCAGCAGGTCTTTAGCAGTAGAACAAATGCTTGCATGACTGAGGTATTCAGGTCACGAAAGCTCTTTATAAATTTAAGCAATGGTAACATTTCAAGCAGTTCAGGAAGTTGGTTTTAAAATCCTCAATCGGTTCCTTTTTACAGAAAACAAATTTACCAAAAATAGATTGACTATAATCACATCTATTGTCTTCCCCTGAAATAAAACACTCCAGTTCAAACTTGAAATACTGTGAAAGAGTTGACAATTGATAGGTGCTGATAGAGTTAGACCAGCTGTTTACAATGGTTCTGCCCCCCCACCCGCTTTTGTTCAATTAGTTTTTTTGTTGTTTTTTGTTTGTTTGTTTGTTTGTTTTGAGGCAGGGTCTCCCTGTAACCCCAGGTGTCCTGGAACGCACTGTGCTGACCAGGCTGGCCTTGAACTCTCAGAGATCCACCTGCCTCTGCCTCCCCAGTGCTGTGACTAAAGGCGTGTGCCACCACGCCCAGCCGTACAATTGGTTTTTAAAAATTGGCATTACTCTCCTTTCCCCAGTAAAGCTGACTGGGCCAGTGAGAGAGGAGAGGGACACTTTAAAATACAGAGACTGTATTCTCTTTAATGGAAGCTAAGTATTAGAGCTGCTTCACTGTGATTAGCAGCATTTTCACTGTACACCAGCTGAGTAAATTTAGCTCTGCCCTTTTTTTTCTGAATATGACTTGGTTGCCATGCATTATTTTGGTTGATTGTCTTGGACAATATAAAAACCTGACCACTTGCCATTAAGGTTGTATCCATAGATGGATCAAACCAGTATTTAGTAGACAAATTAACTCTGACAGTAACTCAACAGGGAAATCAGAATTGTCAGGACTGCTTTGAAGAACTCTAATATCAGGTACTCAACCCTAAAGGTCTGCCAGGCTTACAATCTGTAGTGTCTCAGGTGACTGAACCATGCAACTTGCACTTTGAGAAAGACTGTCCTGAATGAGAATCTGCTGCATTGCCATCCCATACTAACCCTAAATTTAGAATTACTGGATTTGGAAAAACTCTGTCAAATCCATTGTGACTCAAGGAATTTTGTTGGCTTAGTACCACCTCTCCTGACAAGCCTGCCCCAGGAGCACCACTGTCCACAGGCAAA